GCTTTTTTTGTCTTTCTCTTTTTGGTGGTGCTGGGGACAGAATCAGGGCCTCACACATGCTTGGCAAGTGCCCCTTCTGCGACAGAGAGTTAGAGGCTGGGGCCAGTGGGTAACTAAAAGCGGCAGAAGCTCAGCACCTCTGCCTTCATCTTGTACGGCCTCCTTCACTACCTGGAGACTCTGGATGGCCCGGCCCTGCACATGGCATGCTAATCACTTAGGCCGTGCCTGCGGTACAAGCTTTACTGGCTCTAGGTCTCCCCAGCTCCTCTCCTCCTCTTTCAAGACCAATGATACCACAAAAGAGGAACTAAAGTCGCTCGCAGGACTTGCAGCGACCACTGATTCCCAGCTTTCACAACGTGTCCCCAGTGATGCCTACAAGTCTCGGGTCACTGTCCTAAACCACAGTCACCTTGGAGTCTGGGAAAAGCAGAGTTGCAGACCAGCCCATGACCCTCAAGCAGGAGCAACTGCCCAGGGATGGAACCAAACTGCTCCTGAGCAACTGCAGCATTCTAGCAGGACGCATTCCGGCAGCCACACACTCACACACCGCAGGATCCTGTTTCTAAGCCCCTTTGGCAAAAGCGAACTGCTAGGGGCAGGAAACAGGATGGTGGCGGCCATGGGCCAGCAGGGAAGAGGGCCTGACCTCCAAGGGGCACAGGACAGCTTCGGGAGTGGCAGAACTGCTCTGTCTTGGTTATGCTGGGGGCTGGTTACGTGACTACATATGGTAAAACAGACCTGTGCTCTAAACTAGGGGCGCACTTTACTGCATGCAAAGTGTGCCTTGACTTAAAAAAATGCAACAGATGAGAGTGGGAGAGGAAGAGGAGGAGGAGTAGATCCATCTACCAAGGAAGGGTCCTGTTCATGTCCCCTGAGGCTGTCAACTGCGACCAATAGGAATCTCATCCTCGTCACACGGTTGTGCAACATCTGGTCCTAATTCCCAGACCTCCCCCCTCCTCAGGAGAAAAAATGGTGACGCTGCTCCAGCTCCCTACGACACTATCTCTCTGTCCCTCGATTACAGTAAATGTGACTTACGAACATTTGGGTTATGAACTTTCACAGGTATACTGTGTAAGACTCACTTTGTGGGCTTACGAACGAATCCGATTTAAGAACAATTCTCCCTTGGGGCTGGGGATTTAGCTTAGTGGTTCTGGCACCTGCTTCACAAGCACAAGGACCCGAGTTCGATCCCCGGTACCAAAAAAAAAAAAGAACAATTCTCCCGGCACAGAAATCCTTGGCAAGTCGAGGACTACTGGACAGAGCTAGCCCTGCGTGGAAGATGTAGCACGGACACCGAGCGTCTGTCACGACAAACCTCCAAACCCATTCACTCAGCCATCTGTTCAGGCCACAGCCATCCTCTCTCAGTGCTACCGCCACGGGGCAGCCAGCAGGATGGAGGGCCCTGTGCTTGCCAGCCCCGCAGGCTCTGCCCATCGGGGCCTGAGCAATTCCCAGGCTGGGAGCAGCTCCCCACACTCCGTCCTACTCTCTCTCCTCTTTCGACAGAGCCTTCTGGCTGTCACGTGCTTTTCCCTCCCACTCCTTCTTGATGGCCTGGCCATCTTCCCAGCTAAATTCACTGAGGCTGGGGCTCTGGGCCACTGTTTTACCCATAGCACCTTTCACCTTGTATGAATTATTTGATGCTAAAAATGTGTATCTCGGAGAATGTGTTTTCTTTAGGATTTGGACTCGGGGATGAAGCCCCAGAAGAAATACTTACTATGCTCACAGCGACTCAGGTGCCAAATTCTTCTTCTTCTCACACAGGACAGAAACGGACTTTGGCTTCCTTCCCGTGCTAGATTCTGAAACACGCTGGAGCAAACAGCTCGAGTTTCAAGTGGGATACGGACTAGCAGCTCGCAGAAGCCGCTGCAGGCGGACAGGCGTTCACAAGGCCAGCCTGGCTTCTAGCCTCCAAGAGGTAAGTGCACTGAGGTGCTCTGCCACCGCGTGCCCACACCCGTCCAGACGGAAAGTGATGCGTGACGGGCCCCAGAAGGCAGGCGCAAGCAGACCATTCCAAAGACAGAAAGCCACCACTCACGCAGGACCAAGAAACCAAGCTCTTCCAGGGCTCAAGCTGGCAATTCAAAGGCTACCCAGTGCTTAAATGAAGTCTGTTTCCTAACCAGGACCCTCTTTCAGACCACCAGGATGGCGTAGCTGTGAGATGTTGCAAATCAACCCCACATACGGAGTGCTTTCTCCAGACAAAGCTCTGGCTTCTGACAGCAATGAAAATCCACCCTGTGGTGGTGCACACCTATGATCCCAGCACTCCGGGAGGCTGAGGCAGGAGGACTGCAAGTGCCAGTGCCTAGTGATGCAGCCATCCTGATGGCATAGCCCATGTGTGTGTGGTGACACTGATGTAAACAAACCTACTGCCCTGCAGGTCTTTTAAAAATGGAGCACACACAGTTGTGTACACCACACAGCACGTGATGGTAATACTGTGGATCCTTGAGTTATGACCAGCCTGACACATGAACACCTTGGGTTGCAACCGGAATTTTAGTTTTAACTTATGGCCAAAGTTTTGAGTTATGACACAAATGCCAGCCACTTGTGCTCCAGATGATCTCAGATACAGACTGAACCCTTAAAGAGCTCTGGAAGGAACAGGACAACATCCTCTCCTGTGTGGGGTTCACTGAGAAATCCTGGGCCAGGCTCTCCCTAAGGTCACTGAGATCTGCCTGGAAGAAGGTGTGGCCTAAAATTATACAGCAGAGAGACTCTGAAGGCAACTGGCTACCTTGAGTTACAACCAGCCCTTGGAAACGAATTGAGTTGGTAAGTCAAGGGTCCACTGTAAACGACCTTGTGACTGGATTATGTGTCCGGTCATCATTCTTTTAGACTGTACTCTTCCTACTTAGAGAAAAGAAGCAGCACACCTGGCTCAGCTGTTTCAAGACCCCACGTGGAGGGACCGACCTGAACCCCTAGATCTGGGGCAGTGGATCTGTTATGTTCGCACAGTGATCCCTGCCGGCCACATGGCTCTCAGACTGTATCTCTGGTATTAAATGACGCATGACTATGTTACAGTTTGGTAGAAGCCAGAGAAGAATCTAAGGTGACCCAACTTGTGCTGCTGGGAGCAGAGAATAACCTAGCTGGCGTCCCAAGAATACAGGCAGTCCCAGGCTGGGAGGAGGATGGTATTTATTTATAATGTGCTCCATGCCCAACCTGTTTGGTCACTTTTGCCCACATTAACCACCTTTCTAGGGGAGCCCGAGGCCCAGGTTGGGTAAATAACTTGATCAAGGACTAGGGTTTGGGCCATCCTCTCTAGCTCCATTGCCTGCCTGTCTTACCTATCTAGGCTGAGTTTCAAAAAGCCCACCCAGGTCCCTGTGGACTGGTTGCTCCTTAACCCTGGCAAGATAGCACCTGAATTAACAGTGGTTCAACCTGCAAGCTTTCAACTTTACGACGGTGCAGTCTGAGCTCTGCAGCTGGATCTTTTCCGGGCCAGGGTGATGTGCCATGATCATCTCTTGTGATGGATGCAGGAGCGCCTGGAGATGCAGGGAGCCCCATGATCATATGGGTAAATACTCAAAGTCTACATTTCTAGGCTGTGATGCACACCAGGACATGGGGTAGGTGAGGTGCGCTTGGTTCATTTTCGACTTAGCATATTTTCAACTTTTGATGAGTTTATCAGGATGCAACCCTACTGCATACGGAAACGAAAACATTAGGTAGGCTAGGCTAAGCTGTGATCTTTGGTAGGTTGGGGGGTATTAAATGCAGTTTTGACTTAGGGTATTTTCAATTTAGGATGGTTTCATGGGAGGTAACTGTTTTGTAAGTAGAAGAACATGGTATCATTTGGATCTGAAACATCTCCCAAGGCCCACATGTGGAGGCTTGGTGGCCAGCTCACGATGCTACTGGGAGGTGGTGGATCCTTTAAGAGGGGATCCTTGTGGGAGGAAATTTTTGCCACTGAGAGTGTGTCACTGAGGGGAGATTGGGATCGCACCCCTTCCTGTTTCTCTCTCAGCTTCCTGACCACCGCGAGGTGAGGCTTCCTCTGCCACGCCCTACTGTCAGGATGTACAGCCTCACCCAGCTCAAAAGCAATGGGACTCAGTGCCCACAGACAGAAATCTCTGAAACTGTGAGGCCAACTCTCAGTTACTGGGTCACAGTAACAGAAAGCTAACGTGCAGACTTCTGTACAGGCCTCTGTCGATCGGGGCTAACAGGTTGGTGCAGGGGTAATTAATCAAGATAAGGTGATACAGGAGTGACAAGGCCCTAATCCAATAATGGCATTTTGTAAGTCTTAAATATCTTCAAGCTTTAAAAATGTTTTACTTTAGAAAACAGGTGACTTACTGGAAGAATCCCCCAGTCCGTGACAAAGCCCGGCCAGACCAAGCCTCCAGCGGTGTGGCACACTTGCGTGTCCCGTTCTTGCCACCCAAAGATGCCAGCTGACAAATGTAGGTCCACTTTGTAGCAGGGATCACGTATGGTTTGACCTCTGAATTGCCTGCTATAAAGTAGCTATTTTGGTCACAACCGAAGGCGTTGGAATGAACCAGAAACATTCCTAAGTTTTAGAAAATGGCCTAGAACCCATTTAGGGGTGGGGTAGTGAATCTGAAGCTTCTATACATCTCTAGTGCTGGGTCGAAGAGGTTCAATATGTAGCCCTCCCCATAAGTGCCCTCACCTTGGCCAAAGCCAAGAGACTGAATGGCTTCTGTCCTTGTCCACATCTATCACAAGTGCTCCTGACATTAATTTCCACCTGAGGTCATCTGAACAGAAACACCAAGGAAGGAAGATGGTACTTCCCCATCCGATCCCAGGAAGGAGATGGCCCAGGATCTTATCTCTCCCTATAACATCCTCAGCGTATGCTTAGCTCTTCTTGTTCTATAGCCCACGGCACATGGAAGACGAATTTCCTCCCCACCGGAAGCCAAGCCTCTTACCTGATTCCTGGAGATACCGATACACCAGAAAGTTCACCTCGTCGCTGGTTATGCTCATCTTAGCCCCACCTCGCGATGATGAGGTCTTCACAAAGTGGGAGCCACCCGCTGTTAGGAAGAAATCACAGAAAGAGTACTGAAACTTTGCCTGCATTTTTCTGCATTCTTTTTGACATGACTGAAGAAAATAATGTCCGTGTTCTAATACACATGACAGCATTAATGTGATTCATGTTCAGTTTTGCTGTAGCTCAGTGGTGAAGTGCTTGGCTAGCATGCACGTGGCCCTGGGTTTGATCCCAGGGCTGCAAAGAAAAAAAAGATAATTTTATTTTATTTTTTTAGCACCAGGGATCGAACCCAGAACCTCGCACTCGCTAGGCAGGCACTGTGCTGCTGAGCTACAACCCCGGCCCCAAAAAGATAATTTTAATTTTTTTTTTTTTTGGTACCAGAGATTAAACTCGGATCCTTGAGCTTGTGAGGCAGGTGGCAGAACCACTGAGCTAAATCCCCGGCCCCAAAAAGATAATTTTATATCTATATTCATCTACCTAAATCTATCTACATCTGTATCTATCTCTAACTGAAATATTTCTCCTAAAAAAAAGAAGAATTGGCATAATTTATAAACCAGGGATAGGTAAGGTAAAAACTGTATTAAGAAACCCAGTTCAAGAGCAACAGTGAAATCAAACCGCTGACTGTCTACTCAGCAAAACTCTACAACATACTTGGGAACTAGCACGAAAGGACCCCAGCAACATGCAGCTGCAAACATGCTCAGTGATGCTGAGCAGGCAGAGAAGGTGACTAAAGAGGCCAGTGGTGACATCAGTGCCCTTCGGAAGTGCCAGGGGTTCCTGGTTGGGGGTCCTGGAGGGACTGCAGCATCTTTCACTCCTCAAACTTTGGTCGGTTCCATGATAAACTCGATGGTCGCTCTGTGCAGACCCAAAAAGGAAGATGGCCACAAACAAGGAGCTAAGTAGTTAGATATGACAACTTGCTGTCCTGTCTACAGAAGATTAGGGTGCCTGGTGGCCAGCCAGAGCAGGGGAAGCAAGAGAGTACCTGCAGCATCTGTGTTTCACCACAGAACCCCTGTGTTGGACTGGAGAGGGCTTCTGGGGCAGCTTCTGAGGCTGCCAAGATCATGTCTGGTTTTCCTCACAACCATGTGAGTTAAGACTCCTGAGCACCTTGGCCCACAGAGAACAAATGAGGGACAGATCTTCCATACGTGGTTACACCAGAATTCATCTGTCCATGTGCTAGAGAGCAGTGCTCCAGCAGGTCCACAGAGTGAACAGGTTGGGGAGCATGTCATCCATTTTGGGATCTTCTTGGGCAGCAAACTTTTACTGCTGAATGAACACTGTTCCAGGTAGGGCATGTTTTACCTTGTCTGGGAGGACTGGAAGGGAGTCCTGCACTGCATAGTCCCCTCTGCTTGCCTGTGGGCAGGACCTGGAACTCACTTCTACTGCAGAGACTATAGCTAAAGCAAGGTTGACCAGATGTCCTTCCCATGGTGAATGATGGTGAATTTTGACTGTCAGTCTGACTGGACTGAGAAACACCTAGGGGATTAGTGAAGCTGGGTGTGTCCTTGCCGATATTTCTCAAGACTGGCATGTGGGACTGCAAACCGAGAGGGGGACCAGCCTTGAATATGGATGGCACCATCCTCTCCACCATGCGGTGAGCAATTTTCCTCCCCATGATGTTCTGCCTCACCGCGGGCCCAGAAACAGAGCCACAGATTGAAACTGCTGAAATCGTGAGCCAAGATAAACCTTTTCTCCTGTAAGTGGTTTTTCTCAGATATTCTGTCAGAGTGACAAAGGTGACATAATCGTGTTGACTAAACGAGACTGCATCTTAGCAGATGGGAGGGACAGCTTCTCTAGCCAGCCCTGAAGATGTAAGCAGCCATCATGTGCCTTGCAGGGTACCTCACTCTTACAACCACAAGGAGCTGGCTTCTGCCAACAGCTGGAACTTGAGGAAATCCCCAAGCTCCAATAAGCACGCCTCTGACTGCAGGACCCAGGCTTCTGACCCATGGAAATGGTGAGATAATAATTATGTGTTGTTCCAACCTGCTAAGTTTGTGCTAATTTGTTACACAGCAGCCAAAAACTAACACGTTCCATGTTGGCTCATTCTGCAGTTCATTTTGCAGTCTTTTCAACAGGATTTTAGTTTACAGTTACTAGAGCTTTGCCCCTCAAAAATGCTTCTCTTGGGCCAGGGATTTAGCTCAGTGGTTCTACCACCTGCCTTGCAAGCACAAGGTCTGGAGTTCAATCCCAGGTACCAAAAAAATAAGCTTCTCTTCTAGCAAGTGGTAGGGAAGACGTGGAGACAAAGGAACCTCCACACACTATTGGTAGGAATGTAATTGGTGTAGACATTACGGAAAACAGTATGGAAGGTCTTCAAAAAATGAAAAACAGAACCACCATGTGTCCCAGCACGCCCACTCTGGAAATGAAATCAGAACATATGTCAGAGCAATGCCTGCACCCTCCAGCTCACAGCAGCACAGTGGACAGGAGCCGAGACATGGACACAACCGGAGGGTCCATCAGCTGATGAATGGATCAAGACCACGGGAGACATATACACCATGGAATCCTGCTCAGCCACAGGAGCATGAAATCCTGTCAAGGTGACAACACAGGAGGTGGAACGGAGGTCATCATGTTGAGTGAAAAGCCAGGCACAGCAAGACAAACACTGAGGCCTCACTCATACGTGGAAACCTAAGGAACTGACCTCACAGAAGCTGAAAATGGAATGGAGGCTCCCAGGGGCTGGGGAGGGTGGGGGCAGAAGGAGCTGGGAGAGGTTGGTTGATGGGCACTGAGTCACAGTGCAGTAGGAAGGAGGAGGCAGCACTGGGTGCCACTGCGCAGCTGGGTGTCTACAGATAACAATCTTGTGCTGTACATTTCAAAACGCTAGAACACAAGACTTCACAAGTTTTCACCATAAAAAACGAGGTTAGGAGATATTTACGTTTAACCTGATGTAAACATTACACCATGAATGCATTCATTGAACCATTACAGAATACCCTTTACTATGTAAAATTTTTATGTTCCTATCAACTAAAAAGATAAATGAAAGCCAAGTGCGGTGGTGCACATCTATAATCCCAGCAGCCTGGGAGGTGAGGCAGGAGGACTGCAAGTTTGAAGTCAGCCTGGCCAGCCTAGGGGGGCCCTGTCTCAAAACAGAGAGAAGTAGCTCAGTGGTAGAGCACACTGGGGCTCAATCCTGAGTAATAGGAAAATAAATATTATACATAAATAAACTTAATTTCAAATCCTAGCAAATGCTTATCTTCTTTGGTTTAGCTTGGCAACATTTCTGTGCTTGTGGCGCATGCCATAAAGAAAATTACAGTCAAAATACAGATCTGTCCTACATCTAAGAGAATGCTTGGGGCCCTGAGCAGACCAAAAGTGGTGTGGCACAATCAGAACGCAGTCCCTTGGAAAATCTCTGCTCCTGGCTTCTCTCTGCATCCTTCGAAGTTGGAAACCTCTGGTTTGAGGACAAAACAGCAGGGGTTTAAAGGGTTATGTAGGAGAGGCAAACAGATGCGCTTGAAAAATGGCATCTACAAAACCCAACACAGGCACACCGCAGAGTGATTTCCCTTGCGCTTCGGGCATTTGTGAAGATGGAAAGCAAGGAATTTGGAAGTACATTTGCAGAAGGTATTAATCCTAGCACTTGGGAGGCTGAGGCAGGAGGCGTACACGTCTGAGGCTAGCCTGGGCTACACAGTGAGATCCTATCTTGAAACAAGACAAAATAAAACCAAGCGAAAGATAAAAAGTTTGCCCACTGTGGTGGCACACAGCTGTAATATTAGCACTCAGGGAAGCTGGGGCAGAAGGATCGAGAGTTTGAGCCCCAGTCTGGGCAATTTAGCCATGTAGCAAGACCCTGTCTGAAAATAAAAAATGAAAAGGACAGGGGTGTAGCTCAGTACAAAGGTCCTGGGTTTGTTAATCCCCACTACCCACCCTCAGACCCACAAAACTCATGAGGACAACACATAGAAAGTAACTGTGTTCGCCTTTCTTGTGTTAGTTGGTCTCTGGGCTTCCTTTCAGCCCTAACATTCTGTTCTGGCTCGTGTCTAGATGTCCCCGAAAAGCTGCATGCCATCATAGGTGGGGCTTTTTCAGAGGTGGCTGGATCTAGAGTGTGTGAGGCTGGGATTAAGGCTGTGTGATTCATAAATCAGTCCACAGATTGGTTCCCCACCCAAAGCCCAGTAGCCTAGATTGAATATAAAAGGGGCAGAAAGAAGCTGCTAAGGTCTCTTGGACTTGTTGCTCGCTGTCTTTTTCTTTTTCTTTTCTTTTTTTTTTTTTTTGGTACCGGGGATAGAACTTGGGACCTTGCACTTGCAGGGCAGGCGGCGGCACCACTGAGCTAAATCCCCTGCCCACTTGCTGCCTTCTGTCTACCCTGCCGTGCCATGGTCTGTTTCTCCTCTGCGATGCTCCTCTGCCATGGCACCCTGCCTTGGAGCTAGCCAACTATGGACTGAAACCTCTGTGAACTGTGAGCCAAATAAGCCTTTTCTCCTTTAGCTTTGGGTGTTGGGTATTTTGTTTCAGCAATGAGAAAAGTAACTAAGACAGGATTTGGTACCAAGAGTGGGGTTATTGTTGTGACTGTACCCGACCATGTGGTTCAGGAGCCTCAGAGATGCTGGCTGAAAAAGTAGCTCTGGAATGCCTGAGGCTGTAGTTGATGGGAGAATCTCGTCAGAGCTCAGAAGGCCAGAATGCTGCTGCTGCTAGAAATGCTGGTGGTAAGGACCAGGCTCAGGAGGTTTCTGCTGGGAAGAAGGACTGCATTGGCTGCTGGACTCCAGAACACATGTGCTATGCCTTGGCAGAAAGCCTGACTGAATTTTGCTCATGTCCAGAGACTTTGCCTGAGACTGAGATTAGGGGCAATGGACTAATTAATCTTGCAGAAGAAATTTCAAGACAGTCTAATACTGGGGAATATTGGAGGGCTGCTGTTAAGGGCTGCTGTTAAGGAAACCACTGTGACTCTCATGATCCTGG